GGCTAGGGAGTTAGCACTAAGGCTTTGGCAATGGTTTGGCTAAATTCCTTCATTTACAGATTTGGGGTGGGGGTGACCAACATTTGAGTACCTAGTATGTGATCAATATTATGTAAAGAGATTTACACATACTATCTTGGTGGAACCTTACACCTCATTTTATAAATGAGGGAACTGAGGATCAAGAGAGGCAAAGTGACCAGCCCAGGATTATACCATTAATATATAGTGACAGTGAGGAACCCAGGCTTCTTTTCAAATCTAAATCAGTATGGTAGTATAAAAGACAGAATTTGAAACCAAAGCCTTTTAAGTTACTTTCTACCAATGAGATCTTCTATGTTTTTTAACTCAACTAAATCTATCTACCAAACAGGGCTATTGCAGAGATTAAACTACAACTACAAAACAAATCCTAGTGGTCATTTCTTTAACTGCAAATTGGCCTTCATTAGAATTTATTTTCAAATGTGTAATCTCTTAATTGGTTTACTTCAAACAAAAATCCCAAGTTTCTGAATTAATGCCTATACATTTTACGGTAGGAAACTGAGATAGGGAGAAAGGATGTTCCCTAGTATATCTAGAATCAAATCAAACTCGAGTTTCAGGTCTTTAATACTGTGGCTGCAGCCAATCTCTCTAGCCACACCTCTCACAATTGACTTACACAAGTACAACACTCAAATCTGTGGCAACTACCAATTTTTAACAAACATACCCTGTACTTTCCCCACTTTGCATCTCTACCTAACTTACTTAATCTATTGAAATTTGTTCTCCAAGGCCCAGATGAAATTCATCTTGGAGTGTGAAACCTAACCTTTTTTCAGTATGTTGAGAAATGATGGCTCCCTTCTCTGAATTCCTATATCGCTTTGCTTTTACCTCCATTCAAGTACTTACTGCCTTATAAAGCATAGAAAAGTTCATTTTGGCCAGCAGAGCTTAAGTTCCTTAAAAGTAGGCTGAAAAGAACTAATATTTACTTTGTATCTATGAAGCACCAATTGCTTTTCTACTGATTTTATATATATATATATATACATGTTTTATATATATATGATTTCTTGTTACCTTTGTGACACCCTATGAAGCAGGAATTTATCTTTAGCAGATAAGAACACTGAAGTCACAGAGGTTAAACAATTTGTTTACAGTCCTAAGTCTAGTAAATGACAGAGCCTGGATTTCTAGATTTCAATCTTGGTCTTTCTAACCCAAAGCCTAGGCTCTTCCCACTGTAATTTTCCACGGATATATCCTCACTGTTTTATTTGATTATTTCTAATCCACCACGTAATCATAAGGGGAAAAGCCTCCATTGACTTTTGTCATTAAGTATTAACAGAAAGGATTTGATTTAGGGCATTTGCCCTCCTACTTTCCAAGACTAAGAACAGAGTCTTCAGAGCAAACAAAATGATTAATACGAGTTCTGAATAAAGGAAGACATCAGAACCTGCTCCAGGGAAGGAAAAGTAGAAAACCATTACCTTTTCACTCATGTTTAAAACTCCTCCTCCTCTGAGGTTTATGCCATCTGGCTCTATCACTCTCCATCCTTCCTCCTAATCTGTCATCTACCATCCTCCTGATTAATCCCCTACATTCACTGCACCTGGGTCACAGTCTTTCTTCCCCACATCCTTGCATTCTAAATCACTTCACTATCCACACAGATGACTCACTCAATACAACAGCCTCACAGTTCCTTGTTATACTCAGCTTCACTGACCTTCACCTTTGCTGTACTCTAGCTACCCATGCACAGAGACCTAGCTGTCACTTAAAACAGCTCCAACATTAGACTATTTAACTCTGACATTTCACTTTCTGATCATAACCCTTTTTTCTAGCTTACTTCCACTCCATTTGCTCATTGATTCAACTCAAGAAATTGCAAAATCTTTAAGTCCAAAAGTGAACGCATCATCCAGCATTTCCTGTCTCAGTTTATGTCACCACCACCCCCCTAGTTAACCAAACCAAAAACCTGAGCATCACACTGGACTTCTCACCCTCTCATCTGCACATCTAATCAGTCATAAAAGCTCAGATTCTCTCAACTTCATCCCCCTCTCCTCATCCCTATGACCACATTTCAAAAATGTTATTCAACCACATTTCAAAAATGTCTGATAAAAACCTTTAAGTGATGAAAAAAATCACATAAGGTCCCTGCATATAAGGTCCACCATAATATGGTCTCTGCCTGTATTTTCTGCCTGACAATTTACCACTTAGTCTTGCCATATTCTTAGCAATCCAAGCTGCTTGTGGTTCTGTCAAGCTGTTCTTTTCTCACATTAATGTCTTTCCTCAAACTGTTTTCTGTTTGAGGCACACTCTGTACTCATGTCTGTCTGACTTCTACTTACTATTTAATATTTGGACCAGGTGTCACCTCTTCCCAAAGACTTCCCTCAAGTCCTAGGCTAGTAAGCACTCTGACTTGGGCGAACCATAGCATCAAATGCATAGCTCTCACCTTTAACTCTGAGATGACCTATTTTAGCATCTAATTTACCTGCTCCATAATTTAGAAACGTATCTTACTCACTTTTGCATGCCCAGCTAAGCACAGTACATAGCATAGTGCCTGACACATAGTAGCCATGTTAAAGTGCAAAGTTTAGAACATGTTGAGTTTAAATTTTCAGTGGGATATTCACACCAGTTCTTTCTCACAGGGTTTTCAGTATTTCCTACCATTAACTCCAGCTCCTTTGAAAGGAAGGAACCAAGCCTTTCTTGAATCTGTTCAGTTCTGTACAGAATGGTGCTTTACAAATTTTTACCCAACTTTCAGAACAGGGAAACAGCATTCACACAAACATACCAGAAATCCAAACTTGACACGCATGCTACAAACTTCAAAACCACTGACCAATTTAAAAAATGAAGACATAGACAATGATTCTGTAACATCTTTCTATGTTGATAGTAACCATATTAGAGGGAGTGAGGATTTAATAATATGGGTAACTGCTGAACTACTGTGTTGTACATCTGAAACCAACAAAAGATTGTATATCAATGATACTTCAATTTAAGAAAATGAAGACACAAAACAAAGATAAAGAACTAATTCTGACTGCTGGTATGTGCTTGTCTATGTTACAAAACAATGAAACTTTGCTTAGAATTTTGAACAGAGTCTCAGACACAAGAGTTTAGCATTTTATCTACAAGGCCATCACAACTCTGCTGGGCTTAAAAAACCACTAACAGGCAGGTTTGGTTAGGCAGGGGGTTAAGGACATTGGTAAAAGACCCTTTTTAAAAACTTAACCCCTCATACCAAGGTGAAGTGATGAAAAAGCAAGTAAAAAATAACCTGGTAAGTGAGCAACAAAAAATGCCCTTTTCATAGCAATTTCTGGCCTTCTGCTGGCAGTTAGAAAGAGCAAAGAGTTCAGTGTAATAAAGCAATTCCCTCTCCAACTAAATATTAAATTACTGTTTGGCACGAAACTAGGTCTCAGTCCTTTTTCAGAGCAAAAATAATAAGCTCTTCTATTTACATGGGGCATTGCAACACTTTGATATCCATTAGCTCATCTGATAAAGTGTTTATAGACATTTTAAAAAGTGAAAACCCCAAATTTTCCACAAAATAAGATCTTTGAGTTCATTTGAACAAACTGCAGTAGACTTTTTTCAATTCAATACACATCACAGAAATGAGAGGAATAGAGTACTTTTTTTTTTAAGCAGGTCAATCTTTGGGGCCAAGGAGGTTCTTGGAGAAACTAAATAGGTTTTGTCTTCTTGCTCACATTAAGAAGCTCTCCTTTAAAGAGGATATGGGCAAACAAGAGCTTATTCAGAGAAGGAATCAGAGAACCACAGCAGACCATAAACAACTGAAGGAACTGGAATTAGTGAAGAGAAGACAAGACTCCAGGGACATCATTATTCTCTTAAGATATCTTAAGGGCTGTCCATAAGGGAAAAAGAACTAGAAAGAATAGGAGGCAGCTGTTTCTTTCCACTAAACAAAAAATTTCTAAAAAAACCAAAGCTCTCCAGGTACAGAATGGGTTTCCTTGGTTAGAAGTTAGTTTCATATTACCGGAGGCAAATTATTAGGGTAGAATTTGGGATTTTCAAAGCTACTTTGGAATGGGATGGGGAAAAGGGGCCCCCTGGACGACTTTAAAATTCCCTTCCAGTCTGGAGATGTTCTGGGGTTTTACCATCTGCTGGAAACCCCTTCTCATTCCTCTCGGGGCTGGCCCACAGCTGTGCCCACGTGTCCAGCCCTCCTGGCATGCTCACCGTGGAGCCCAGTGGCTCCCGCCCGGGTCTGAGGTTTGAAACCTGCTCTGTTTCCGGCGGCACACGTGAGATGTCCCGGCGCAGCTCTTGACGCTGGAGCCGGCCGGGAAGATCGCTGCTGACAGCTCCGGGCCCCAGGAGCCCCCGACCCTCGCTTGGGCCACGCCGCCCGCTGGCCTCGGTCCTCGTCTGCCCTGAACCGCAACCAGACCGGCGACGACCCCCTGGCATCTCTCAGCTCTGGTGTCGGAGCAAACCGACAGACGCGAGAGCAGACTGACAGCCGCTCGGACTCCCGGCCCTCGGCTCAAAGCCAACACTCCCCGACCGACCCGGCCCCGCCGGCCCGGACACCGCGACCCTGCTCGTACCGCCCAGCGAGGCCGACCCCCCAAAGAGACTCTGTTCTTGGGTTTCCCTCGCCGGGGCGCCCCTGCCGCGTCAGGGCCGCGGGCCGGACACAGGGCCCCGCCCGCAGATGCAGAACGGGCCTCGGGGCTCCGGGCCGAGTTGACAGGGCGGGGAGCGGCCGCGGCCACGCTCGGACCAGACAGGCCGACAGTCCTCACAGACTGACAGACAGTCGGGCGCCGAGGGGCGGGGGCGGCGTCCGGGCTGTCCCGCCGCCGCCGGCTCGCAAGGGGCGGCCCCTGGCGGCCCGGGCCCTCGGGGCGCGAGCTTCCCCAGGCGGCGGCGGCGGCGTCCGGAGCGCTTACCTGCGGGCGCAGCGGCGGCGGGCGGCTCACTCCCTTCCCGCCGCCATGTTTCCGCTGCGCAGAGAGCGAGAGAGGACGCGCGAAGGGGGCGGGCGGGCGGCGGGGGGCTCGACCGAGGCGGTGGCTGAGGCGGGGGCGGGGCGGGGGCTCCCCGGCGCCGCCCCCCGTGCCTCCCGCCGCGGGGTGGCGCGCGCCTCAGCCGTTGGGCCCGCGCGGAGGGCGGGGCGCGCGGGAGGGGAGGGCGCCGCCGTTCGGTCCAGGCCTGCTAGTCCCGGCCGCCTCCCGCCTTCCGCCCAGGGACCTGGCTCCGCGCCCCGACGGGCTGTCCGCGCCGCGACTCACGCATTGGTAGACTGAGGCCAGGAGAGAGCTCAGGGGCTCGGGTTCGAATTCCGCCGCCGCGGGCCACAGTCTGCGAGGCCGCTGGTGGGCCGCTCGGGGAGGTGGCGGACCCCGAGGTCCAGTGTCAGCCCCGCAGGCCGAATGACTTCGGGCGGCGCCTCGGGCAAAGAGCGGGCGCTCTCGGCTCGAGTTCCCGCCCTGCTAATGACCAGCTGTGCGATGGATGACCTTTGAGCGAGTTACCTCACATCTCTACCTCAGAGCCTTCATGTCTAATTTAATAGCACTTAATCCAGAGGGAAGGTGGAGGATAAGAATAATTAATGCTTGTAAAGCCCATGGAACAGTGCAGGGACTTAGTAAGTAAATGCTCAATAAAGTATAAGCTCGTACTGTCGGTTCATTGGTCCTTCCATTCAACAAGTACGCATCGAGCCCTACGAGCCCAGCGCGGTACACGAGGTCATTCCATCAGTGCCCAGTGGCACTCTTTGCTACATTCTTCTGGTTAACCGTCACATCGGCCCTGATTATCCCTATCTTAGCAGTGAGAAAACCGAAGCTCTGGGAGGTGAAGCTACTTGTCCAAGGTCACCCAGCCACTAAAGGAGTGGAGATTCATCCTTGTCTGTCTGACTTCAAAGCCCGTGCGCTGCCTGTAGGAAGGGGTCAGCTCAGTTAGGGTTGATCAAAAGAGACACCCAGAGTCAGACACATTCACGTTAGCTCTTGAAAGAGTGTGCAGGGGACGCTAATTTTAGGCCGAGGGAAGGGTGTGTGCAAAGGCATAAAGGCATGATACAGTATGGCTGGCTCGTGTGAATGGCGGTGGATGTATGGGAGACAAATGGATATGGGGATGATGCAGCTGACGTTAGGGAAAGGAAAGAAGCCAGATCACAGAAGGAAGTCCTTGAATGTCTAGAATGACATTGAATGTCCTTGTATGTCTAGCTTAGAATTATTTATTTATTTTATTCTCTATCTCCCTCATATATCCTCTATTCGTTTTATTTTTTTGGGAGAGCAAGGCAGAGGCTTTTATTTAGAGAGAAATCAAGAGGACAGAGCTCCTGGTTCAAGCCAGAAGGGGACAAGAGAGTCTGCTAAGCTTAGAATTTATTTTGTAGACCAATGGTGATCATATTTGTGATCCTGGGACCCCTGGGTGTCCCTGAGATCCTTTCAGTTGTCAATCAGCTCAAAATTAATCTCATAGTGCTGAATGTGATTTGCTTTTTTTCAATCTCATTCTGTTATGAGTGTACAGTGAAGTTTTCCAAATAGAGGATGTGATAGTGCAACAGATTAAATGCAGCAACACATTTTAGAATCCAGCTGTCTTAAGCCAGGCATTAAAGAGAATTGCACACATGTAAGACATCATTAATATTTTGCTTTAGAAAATACACATTTTTCACATTACATGTTAACAAAATGTAATGGGTTTATTATTGTGGTTTTTTAACGAAGTATTAAAATTTTAGAAAATTCTCATTTTAATTGCTTATATGATAAGTATTGATAGAAGTAACAGAACACACATAGATAAGCTCTTCAAGGGCCTTCATAATTTAAGAGTGGAAAGGGGTCCTGAGACAAAAAGGTTCATGAATTCCTGCTGTAGGCAATACGAAGCTATTGAAATGTTAAGTGGGTAGTGACTTAATCAGATTTGCATTTCAGAAAGTGCTTTCAAGACCCAAGCCAGGTCTTGAGGGATGAGTTCACAAGGCACAGGAATTTCACACCAAGAGTCCCAGAGCTAGGACCTAGATGCCTCTCTGGTCTTTTTATTTCTAATTTGGTATTGCCTCACCACCTGACAGGGATGCATGGGGGTGAGTGGTCTATTCTTCATTTCCACTTGGCTCTGTGTAGTGAAGATTTTGCTCATGTTTGCCATGAATGCTACCACTCTTTCTGATCCCCAGCACGCTGTTATGTCTTCTCATTGCCATTTCCTGAGAAGCAGTCAAGTCAGGGAGGCAGATGAGAGGAAGGGAAAAGCTTACCAATGACTGTGAGTGGCATGGGAATCCTGGCAGACAGTTCTCCAAAGATACACAGTCTAGGGTATCCTACATACTTAAAGGGCTCTTTAGGCAGTCAGAGGGAAAACAATTGCTTCAAAACTACCACTGTCTGGAAAGCTGCTTTTAAAGAAGAGTTTCCCCAGAGTGCTGATATTCTATTCCTTTAACATAAAAAAAAAACATCAAAAATCTTTTAAAGGTATATTATAAACTTCCTAGCCATCCTAATTTAAGTATACAGAAATAAATTTATTATTTTCTTGACTCTTTATGAACCTTCATTATGAACATCCATAGCAATACCAGGCCTTATTATTACAAATCCTCTTGGCCTATTAAAGAATGAAGGACTATATTCCACCTTAACAGATGGCCCCAGAATGCCATGCTTTTGGAGTGCTCATGATGGTTTAGAAACGTTTCTCATCATTGGCTACCATGTGCATGGCTGTCATGCCTATTCCCTTTATATGCACTTCTAATTTGCTTCAGCGAAGAAGTTAAATAATCCAAGGTCCTGGAATTGCATTACATAGTCTCTGGAGCAGGGGTCTGAGGGACTGTCCTAGGATGAAGCACTGACGCCAGCTGCAGCGGCTGAGGGGATGGGTAGCAGATTGTGAGCTGTGAAGTTAGCCTTCACTTCTCTGGTTTCAGTTTCTTCCTCCATAAAATGGGGATAGTCATATACCGATTGCATCAAGTTGTTGAAAGGATTAACTCAAAAGCACTTAGTCTGTATCACCAGACCTGTTCCCAGACTTCTTTGTTCTTAGCTCCAGTTCCGTTAGACAATTCCATGGAGTCCTCAAACTCCATGGGTTAAAAACCCAAATCATGACTCTCCATCTATCTGGGCTCCCCATTTCACTCAGTGGCACTACCATACTCCCAGTCACCTGTTCTTAAAACTGTAGTAGTACTTTTCAAAATGCCTCCCTGTCCTCCACATCCAGTCAATTTCCAAAGCATGCTACCTTTTCTCTAGTTGAGGCTGCATTCCCTGGACTATTGGAGTTGTAACTTAACTCTTGACTCTCTTCTCTCAAACTTACCTCCCATACCTGCCAGATCCTGGAAGCAACATGTCAGTCCCCCATTCATAAAACTCAGTAAGTCCTCAGTACCTACAGAACAAATTCCAACTTGCATTCAAGGGTCTCCCTGACCTAGCTACAACCTTCCTTTCTAAATTGATTTCTCTCTATTCTCCTTTATTTATCCCTTGATTCACTATTCACCTGTAGTTTTCTACATTTGTCTTTTGCTTCTCTGAACTTTTCCAAGTACAGGTATTCCTTGTTTTTCTTACACTTTGCTTTATTACACTTCACAGACAATTGTGTTTTTACAAATTGAAGATATGTGGCAACTCCACATCAAGCCAGTCTATCGGTGCCATTTTTCCAACAGCATTTGCTCATTTCATGTGTCTGTGTCACATTTTGGTAATTCTTGCAATATTTAAAACTTTTTCATTATCAACTGTATTTATTTCGGTGATCTGTGATCAGTGAGTATGACTTGCTGAAAGCTCAGATGATGGTTAGCATTTTTTAGTAATAAAGTATTTTTTATTTAAGGCAAGTACTTAATAGAGTACAGTGTAGTATAAACATAACTTTTATATGTGCTGGGAAAATTCATTTGACTTGCTTTATTGAAACATTCGTTTTATTGCAGTGTTCTGGACCCAAACCTGCAAATGTTTCCAAGGTATAACTGTACTAGTCTATCTTCTAGAATGCTTTCCTCTCCATTTCTGTATGTCCAAATCCTACCCATCTTTTAAAATGCTGATTTAAGGCTGCCTTCACTAAGCCTTCTATGATCCTCCAGCCTGAATAATAAAAACCAACACTTATATAATGCCTACTGTGAACCAGGCACTCCTTTCATGTGCTTTACATGTATTATTCTTGTGACAATTTCCACAATAAACCTATCCAGTAAGTATAATTATGATCTGCATTTACAGATGAGAAAACTGAGGCACAGGGAGGTAAAAGTAACTTGTCCAGGGTCACATGGCTAATAAATGGTGAAGCCAGATGAGGAACCCAGGCAGCCTGGCTCCAGAGCCCACTTTCTCAACCTCTGTGCCAATGTGCTCTCCTGCCTCTGCTCCTATTAGCTCTCATGGCCGGCCATTCAAACCCCTTTTAGAGCCTTTATCACTTTCTACCTCATTATTGTATAACATGTCTTATCTTGCCTACTTACACAGTAAATTGCTTAAAATCAGTATCAATGTCTGATCTAAAAAAGTATGCTGAATTTCTTGAACCTGGTAAATATTTAGTAAACATTTTTAATGAATGTAAAATCAACAGAATAGTAAGAATGAATGACCTAGAGCAGGATTGACAGACACGATCTCTAGGCCAAATCTGGCCTGACTCCTGTTTGTGTATGGCCCAGGAGCTAAGAACGGTTTGTACATTTTTAACTGGTTGAAAGAAATCAGAAGAATATTTCATGACACGTGACACTTATATGAGAATAAAGGTTTACTGGAACCCAGTCTGGCTTTTTATGGCTGTTTTTGTCCTACAATAGTCCTTATGACCTACAAAGTCTAAAATATTTACTATCTGGCTATTTACTGAAAATTTTGCCAACCCCTGATTGAGAGCTACATGTAATAATGTGAAAATATCTTAAAAACAGCACTGAACAAAAAAGAAGAAGTAGTATGATCC